GGGTGTATATTGCCTATGAGGTCTACCCCCCAAGTGTGGAATGGCCAGGGTGTGATGACTGGGTGGAGACTGTTGGCAGGTTTGTGATTTATTTCGCCGTGGACTTGGCACTTATGGCATTTGCGTACGTGTCGCTTATCATGGTTGGCTAGTAGAAACCTAAATGTAGGACATGGTTGTGTAGCACTAGTTGTCCTTGATGGGCCACAKGTTCGGAGCTATGGGCTGCCTCTAGTACCCCATYGATCTCGTTACCAGCCAGGCATCGCAAAGGCTTTCCTGTGTGTGATTTTCTGTATAGCATTCTATCTTGGAGGTAAAACCGCCTAGCCTTGGATAGTAGCCTCCTCCTCAATGTAGTGTTAATGGGCAACGTGTGGTCTTTCAGATAGTCTATATACATCCTCCTCCAGTCCTTCTCACAAACCGTGAGGCATTCTCTGCCGTCAACTTGTGGGATGCATTTATCGCATTCCTACTGCACCTTGGTAGAGTCCCACTTCATYGCAGGCCAGTAATACCCTAACCTTTGTAATTTTTGGAATAGGGTACTTGTGACATCCCCACAATTGATTTTGTGCACTTCGTTTAGCACTGCTTCAGCCTCTGCTTTCCCTAAGCATCTTGCCCTTACTCCATCTGATTGTCTGTGATATAGTACCCCATTCACGAGCTGGAATTTTGCGATCAACTTGCTATCCTGTGTCCCTATGGTTTGACTTTTTAGCTTCTAAATTACTTCGACCTCCAATCATCTATTGTTATTTCATGTTCCTCTTCTACCCAATCCCTCAAAGTGACAATTGATTGTTTATCGACTGATTGGATGGTGATTTTTGACAGTTGTTGTGTGTACTGTTTAGTATCAAGGGTACTGTTGTAATTTGTCTCTTGTTTATATTGTATGACTGGGCCAGTATAAATAATAACTCTTACACTCACCTCCAGTATTCTGGAGGGTTTTCAGTCCACTCGACTCTCCTCTCTTCTCTCTTCTCCTCTCCTCTCTTCTCTTGCTCTTGCTCAACATGGTATCAGAGCAAGTCGTCCAGGCCTGAAGGGTGGTGTCAAGCAAACCTGCTGTTCAATGTCGTGCAGATGGTCTCTCCATCTCCCTGAGCTGCATCTCTCGAAATGCTACGTTGTTGCATCCAGTTCGACCTAGAAGTTGTAGTGACTTTTCACCTCCCAGAGCTATCTCCATCGAACTCTTGATCTGGTGTACTCAGTTCGACCCAGAAGTTGCAGTGTCTTTTCATCTTCCAACCCAGAAGTTGTACCTCTTGTCTACTCGACTGTAGAGAGGCTATTGTTTGAGGTTCGTAGAGGGAGTTCTGGCTTACAAAGAGGTTATCATTTGAAACTAAAAGAGGTACTGGTCATTTTTTTTTCTGTTCGGTTGCCCTACTGATTGTCTGTTCAGCCGATTGAGGACTGTTGATTGACTGTATTTCTTGACAAGAGTAAATGCATTCAGCTGTTTGCTTTTGGTATTGTGGACTGTTGATGCCCTGAAGCTGATATTGTATTAATCCCATTGAATGACTGTTCGGCTACCCTATTGATCTCATTGACTGGTTGGCTATCAGGCCTACTGGTTAGGTCATTCAGACCTAGTTATGTACTGCAACTGCAGTGTTTCTTTTTGATTCCTACAAAATTGTAGGTCATTCAGACCTGTTCTTGTGCTGCAATAGCAGTGTTCAGATTTTTTTTGTTCTCAGTGAAATCGTAGGTCAGAAGGACCTGTTCTAGTACTGCAACAGTAGTGTTCTATTTTTGCTCCTAGTGAAATCTGAAGTCAGAAGGACCTGTTTCTGCAATAGCCTTGTATGAMAATACTTATTTGGTTGTTGTTTAGTTTTATTCCGATATCATGGGCAATGAGGATTCAGCCACATCTGGAGTTTCCTCAATGTTGAATGGAATGGGTGGGGGTGACCTATCCTTTCCTATGGCTGTTGTCCCTCTTGATGGTTTAAATTACCTAGAGTGGTCAAGAGGGATCAAATTATACAT